AAAAATCAAGTCTCGTGTACTCCAAACAAAAAAACTGAGTTACAAACACTAAGACAAAGGTTTTAAAAAGGAAGCTAAGTAAGTGGTTATGAATTGGCACACAAAGCTGGAGCTCCTTTTGTGGTAAAATGCTGTCTCCTCATCTGAAGCTTTGAAAGGACTATAGAGGACTGACAACCAAAGGATGAGTTAGAAGACACTTTCAGATCATAAATGGGCCATCCTGAACCTCAGACTTCAACAATTAAAGTTTCACTGCAAATCACTATGGTCTTAGTACACTAACCAAGAAAATCCCTTTAATCAAACATTTAGAACACAAACCAGTCAAAAGTTTCCTGGCTACTGGAAGTTCTCTCTGTTCTTGTCCAAGTCGCTCCTTTGAGACAGGTGGTTTTTTCTCTTTCCTTGGAGATGGGATCTGGTCTTTAGCTGGAAATATTTCATTGTTCATTGGAGATTTGCCCTGAGATGCTGAGAGGCATTTCTTCACTTTCTTGGGCGATTGCTTTTTTTCCAGCACAGAATCCAAATCCTGAAACAATTTTTTTGTCGATTGAAATTATTTTCTAATCAAACTTAATTAATTTTAGCAGAGTGAGGAGATGCAAAGCTGAAGAGTTTCTACGTAATTCATTTTTTATATTACCATTCATAATGGCTTGCCCATCTAAAAGCTTTTTATATAATAAACATTGGCACCCTTACACAAAAAGCCTATAGTGTCTTGTTTGCATAGTTCCTTTTTTTCAAAAATGTCTCTCAAGCCTCTTATGGTAGTACTTTTACACCTAAAATGCTCAAAAAAAAGATGCAATCTTATGTAGCCAATGGATTCTTAATCCTTTTCAGAAAATCAACTAGAATTAGTGACCACAGCAGAAAGACTTATTCTGACACCTCCTGTATTATATAGCAATAAATATATTTTAAATTAAGAGCGATCTTTTCCTCCCCAATAAGCATTATGTAACCATCATACATGTGGCAGAAAAATCACGAACATGAAAGGTGTGAGAACACACTGATGAAGTACATTTTGTTGCTTTATCTTTATCCTTTATATAGGTCCTTATTCCACACCTATCACAGACATATCTGAATGCTTCCCTTAGCCATAAACCCTGATGACTGCAAGATGCAGAAAAGTCATACTTTTTTAATAAAAGCTATCATCTCTGGTATGGTTTGTACCTAAAATTGATATATTTCATCCAGCCTTTTCATCATCAGATCTGTGAAGATAAAAGGAAACACTTTCCATACCTGGATTTGTAGTAGGATGTCGATGATAGTGTCAGGAATAGAAGAATCCATGTCTAATTTGGCAGAGCAGAGAGACAACTGACGAATGAGATTGCCTAATTCCTTGTAGTGGGCAGGGACCTGTTGCTCCGATTGATCAGTAAACTGAGTGGCAAACATCTGCAAGGCACGGATAGCTCCTCTGTGGGCAGCTGCTAGCCTGGACATTGCTCGAGACTGAATAACAAAAGGAAAGACATGGATGGTTAAACATGCAATTCAGGGCTTTTCGAAAGCTGGTGTTATTCAAAGAAATATTAGAAAAACTACAGTGATTAATGCTTCACTAAGACTATTTTACTTTTGGTCAATTCTGATGGAGGCCAACTTTTTTCCAGGAACTTTTAATTTAACTCTAATAAATCTTACCTTCTTAGTGTGTTTGATTTTATGGGGACTCAACTTCTCTAAATCTTCCTGAATTTCTTTTACCTGTTTATTGAGAGGAGAAAAGATATTAGTCAGAACTAGCAGCATATTAGTAAATTAAAGACAGACTTGCACTGTGAAGTTTGAATCAAGATCTACATTTCTCAATTCAGAGAGAGGTTAGAACGAACTCTATAGCCAGATACAATGGTAGAGATCAGGCATGAAATTCAGAGGTGTTTTGATGAAGTCTTTTTCTTTCACTCCAAACATATCCCATAAAGAACACTGAAGTCTCTACACAAACCCATTTTTTAATTATTTGTTATTACCTGTTGCTGGAGCACATACAGCATCCGAGCAGACCGAGCAGCTTGCTCCTGCCTCCTAATGCGAACTCGCTGCTCTTTCTCAGGATCCAGAATTTCTTCACATCTCCCTGAAAAAAGTGTTGGTTTTGCAAAACACAGTTACAAGTCTTGACAACGAACACACCTGTGGAAATCTTGACTGAGCCAAGAAAACAAATATTACCTGGCAAGGGAGTTTCCTTAATATCAAACCAATGCATAGCACACAATTAATCCGACAAGCTGTTGTCCTGTATTAATCTGGATAAACCATTTTATCAGTGCTCCCTCTACCTGCTTGGATACTCTCATCTAATGCTGTTCAGAGACATCTTCCTGACAACCATGAAGATATCCCCAAACTGAATCATAAAATTGTGGCTAAAATATTGAGAGTTTTAAGAATTTAAACTTCTTGCTGAAGATTTTAAAAGGGCCAACATAGCATCAAATACTGAGATGCCACCTTCCAACTCAGCCCTAATGTATGCTGGCCACTTTAAACAAACAGAATTCTGGCAGCTGCTGGCCCCTTCCCTACAACTACTAACAATAGTCTTAATTATGATGTTTCTTTTGTAATCTCAACATCTAGCCAATAAAAACAGGACTAAGGGCCCCAAAGCCTTTCATACAAGCTAGCAATGTTTTTGTTTGCTGTCAGTACCACATATCAATTTCCACTTGGCCTTTTTAGAAAAATAAATGTGTTTTAAAAAAAAAAAAAATTAAAAACATTCCACAGATTCAAATCCCAGCCCAAAGACGAAGGAAAAGCAAAACAACAAGCTATTGCAATTCTACTCAAAATAATAAATCTTTCACCCTTTTTAGCCAGTTCTTCAATTTTCTGGATGCAACTTTTCAGTTCTCTTTGCAGCCTTCTGACTTCCTGTGTACTCTTATCTTCATTATTTTTGTGGTTTGACTTTGGCCCTGGTCCTGGATCATGGGTGGGCGGAGAATCTGGAACAGCCGGCATTAACTTGTTCCAATTTGGTGTGTAGACGTACACTTTTGCCCCAGAATTTGTGATCTCCATTTTGGACGGCTGACCAAGTTGCTGCTGCTGTCTCAAGCGTGTCCAAGGCTTCAGAGCTTTCCTCCCCTCGACCCTTTCAGATATGCCAAATGGACGCTGTTCAGGCTTCTGGGGCAGCACTGATTTACCTTCAGCATCTCCGAGCACATGCTGTTTCACTTGTTCTTCTAGGTGCCTTCGTTTTACATCCCTTTTGGCTAGCTGGATGGCCAATTTGAGTTTCTCTTCCG